TGGGGCCCCTTGCCTCAAACCCATGCGGTGCCGAGCCCCGCTCGAAGAGCCTCGGGAGGCGCGTCCGAGGGTGCCTGCATCCTCGTGGCCCATCCCTGCTGCGGTGGAGGCGTTGGTTAAGGAATGCGCCCGGGATGATGCAGTAGGGGAACAAAAAGTTGCATAAACATACAAACTCGGAGGTCCGCGCGGATTTCTCTGATACGCGCTGGGCCCCCCTCCCTGGCGCGCGGAGCGCGCCAGGGGCGGCGCCGGAGGCGCCTCCGGGGGTCCCCAGCGCCGATCCGAGAAATCCGCGCTGACCTCCGAGTTTTTATGTTTATGCCACTTTTTGTTCCCCTAAGGAATGCGCCCGGGATGCTGCAGCCCTGGAGGATTCCTTCTCCAATGCGGGCGGCGGTGATATCCATGGCCAAGGCTCGATTGGAGTTCCACTGGCCTCCAGACCCTGGATCCCTTCTCTGAGGGTTCCTGATCCAAGGCCCCCACCGTGTCAGTCTTGACTGGAGGCCTTCCCCCCCTGGGTGCATCTGGCTTCGTGTGGCACAGTAGCTCCTCGGTGTGGATTATCCGAAGGGCCTCGCTCTCTGCCGCCACCTGGGCCCCGCCTTCAGGCTGCTCGCGATGGATCGGCAGGCGGGTAGATTTTTGTTATCGGCTGGCTGGCTGGCATCTTGGCTGGTCAACTTGTTGTCCAAATTTGTGCCCAGCAGAAAAAAGGAGGAGGAGGAGGTGGAGAAAAAGCAGGAGGAGCGGGCGGAGGAGGAGGAGGCGGAGGAGGACGAATTGGCGGAGGGGAGGCGGAGCAGGCGGATCAGGATTTGGTTTGGGCGGTTTGTTGGCTGGCTGGTTGCGCGCGTCTGCAGCAATTCATTCGGAATTCTGGCCTCGTGAGCGCGGTCCCGCTGTAATTTCAAAGGTTTGCGGTTTGGGGAACGCGCGTCCGTAGCTATTTAGATAATTCTGTCCGCGTGTCCAGAGCCGAACCTTCAGGAGACGACGGAAAGGGGGGGGGAGGGCAAAAATAGCCTCACGAACACATCCCAGTATAGAACATGAGTTATGTCTGCTTGTTCTTTTGGGCAGGGTGGTGTCGCGGCGTCGTGAACGCGAACGCGCCGTTCGCTACAAGGGATTTTGACCTCGGGAGCGGGTTTCCATTGCAATGTCCTGAGGATTGCGGCCTTGGAAGCGCGAATCCGTCGTAGCTCACGAAGGTTGTGGCTTCGGGAACGCGAGCGCACCCTAATTGTACCCGAGACTTGCAGCCTCGGGAGCGCCAGTCCGATCTCCTTTGCAGAGGGGTATGGCCTCGAGGGCGCGAGCGCGCAGCGGCCTGCAGGGGCTGAACGCTCCCGGAGCACGAACCTGTTACGCAGCACCCCGCAGTTGCGGAGAAGACTGATGGGGGGGGGGGAGGAAGGGCGGGGGGGGTCGGTGTCGCGGGTGCGTCGCGGGTGCGTCGCGGGGGGGCCGCGGGCGGGTCGCGGGTGGATCGCGGTTGGGTCGCAGCTGGCTCGCGGGCGGTTCGTCCTTCCCTCAGGCCCGCGGCGCGCCCCCCCCCGCCCGCGAGGTGGTGCTCCTCGAGCTGCTGGGCCCTGGGGGCATGCTGCGGGTGCTGCGGCGCGAGGGGCTGGCGCGCAGCCCCAACGGCCTGCTGCGGTCCTACAACTACACCGGCAAGGACCCCCCCCCCCCCTCTCGCGCGCGCGCTCCTCCCTCCTCCTCCTCCTCATGCACCTCCTGCTCCTCCTCCTCCTCCTCCTCTCCTCCTCCTCCTCCTCCTCCTCCTCCTCCTCCTCCTCCTCCTCCTCCTCCTCCTCCCCCCTCCTCCTGTTCCTCCATCCTCCTCCTCCTCCTCCTCCTCCTCCTCCTCCTCCTCCTCCTCCTCCTCCTTCTCTTCCTCCTCCTCCTCCTCCTCCTCCTCCTCCTCCTCCTCCTCCTCCTCTTTCTCCCCCTTCCTCATCATGCTCCTCCTCTCCTCCTCCTCCTCCTGCACCTCCTCCTCCTCCTCCTCCTCCTCCTCCTCCTCCTCCTCCCTCTCCTCCTCCTCCTCCTCCTCCTCCTCCCCCTCCTCCTCCTCGTCATCCTCCTCGTCCTCCTCCTCCTGTTCCTGGACCTCCTCCACCTCCTCCTGTTCCTGTACCGCCGCAGCGTGCCTCGCCCTCATCTCGAGCTTCACGCTGTTGGCCCCCCCGTTGGGTCAGGCCCTCAGGCCCGGGGGGCAGAGCTCCGCGAGCGCCGCACGCCGAGGCAGGGCTCCGCGAGCGCCGCACGCCCTCCCTCTCCGCGGGCTTTTCGACGAGGCCCAGCGGCAAGTTCGCTCGAGCCCGAAGGGTCCGCCCCCCGCACTGTCCGATCCCCCTCCTCCGGCCGCGGCCGCTGGCGGAGGCTGCCTTCGTCGTTCGACCAGGCGCAGGAGCGGCCTTCCTCGCCGGAGTGGCCGTGGGTGCTGGCCCCGCGGGGTCCCCGGTCGCTGAGCGCGGAGCGACGGCCGCGGCCGGCGCGCCCGGGGGGGGGGGGGGGCGCCGCGCGTCCCCCCGTGGAGCTGCACACCGAGCAGGGCAGTCTCGCCGACGGGGTCGCTCTCGCGTGTGGCGGGTGCGTCGCCGTCGCCTCGCGCAGCAGGGTCGGGGCGGGCCGGCGGGGCGGCCGTGCGTCGGAGCCGGCGGCACGGAGTGCGCCCCCCCCGTCCGGCCCCCCTTCGAGCGAGGGGGCAGCCGATCGGAGCCCCTGTCGGCGCCTCGGGTCCCCGTCGCCCTCTGCCCTCGCCTCCCCTCACGCTCTCCCTCCGCGTGCCACTTCTGACGATCGAGCAACACGCACCCATGCCCACAGGGGGGACGGAGGAGGTTACCCATCGGTCGTTGAAAGTAGGTATTTCTGGATTCCCAGATTCCAATCTACTTTCAGCCCCCCTACTTCAAGAGTCGAGTGGTTTTCCCTCTTCCTTCCTCTTCAGGAGGCGGGCGGAAACCCAATGTATTTCCAACGCCTTCCTACTTCATGTTTCTACCTACTTCTTCCGACCGATGGGTGTGGGTGCGTGTTGTCGGATGGGGGTCCCCGCCCGAACGGGAGCTTCCCCCAGGGTCCGACAACTCGCACCCATACCTCATTGCCAGTTCCCCTCCTTTCGACCCTCCTCTGGGTATGGGTGTGAGTTGTTCGCTCGTCAACTTCTGTCTGAACCTGCTCCGCCTCCTCGCCAGGTTCAGTAGCCTTCCTCGCCTCGTCCCTCCCTCCCCTCCAGCTCTGCACGAGCCGAGCGCACTGCCATCGTCAACGCGCTCCCGGTCGACCGCAGCTTCCTGCTCCCCGATGCCCTCACCTCGACATTTCTCCATCTAGTCTTATGTCGGGCGTGTCCCCCTACAGGGATATTTTCGACGAAAAATAAAAGATACCCCAGAAATAGTCAAAACATAATACAAAAATAGTCTGGGGACTATTTTTGGAGTATTTTTTGCCTTTTGGGGGTATTGTTGGTGTATTCTTTTAATGTGTCGTCGAAGATCTTCCTGTAGGGGGACAGGCCCGACCTAAATCTAGTCCTCCATCCTTTCATCCCCCGTGCCCCTTCCGATCATCTGCTCTCCACCTCGCCCGCACCGGCGTCTTGTCCACATCATCCTCCGAGTCCGCCCTCGTGTCCTTCTCCACCACCCCCCCTGCTCCCTCCTCGATCCTTGATGCTCCATCATCCCGCCTCCCTGCTCTCTTCTCCATTCCATGTTTTTTGACCCTCGCCCTCCTCCTCCATCCGTTACTATTCCTCCTGCTCCACATCTGTCTTTTGAATCCTCCTTCTCATCATCCCGATCGTCCTTCCTATCCTCGTCCGGCTTCGGCCATCCTCTGCCTCACTCATCTGTTCTAGTTGCTGTTTTGTTTGCAGCTCGTGTCATGCATCCCTCATGACCCAATCCTCCTCCCTCCTCCGATCTGCCGTCCTCTCGTCATTCTTTCCAAAGTTCCCGTTCCTCGTCCGCCTGCCTCCCCGCACCGCCCCGACCCCACCGAGGACACCAAGTGGAACCCCCTCTTCACGGACAACTTCCAGTTGAAGCCCATGCAGGACAGAAGCGGGGGGAGGGAGGGCCCACGACGCCGCGCCTCCCAGGGAGAACAATTTCCTGGCGAAGGACCCAACCAGATGCAATTGTGAGTACCGCGTTGTGGGTGCCGCTTTCGGTGGAGCTCCCTATGTGGCCACGAAACGCGTGAGGGACGTGCCGTAATGGGCGGGGGGACGCATGCGGGCGGTGGCTCTGGAGCCTTCGGTGGGGCTCCCTAGGGGCCACGAAACGCTGTCCTGGGTGTGGCTGACGCCTGCGGGCGGTGCCCCTCGCCGGAACTCCCGATGAGGCCACGAAACGCTGTACTGGTTGGGGGAAACGCATGCGGGCGGTGCCGCTGGGGTCTTTCTGTGGAGCTCCCTGTGGGGCAACGAAACGCTGCACTGGGTGGTGGCCGACACATGCGGGCGGTGCCACGAGAACCTTCGGTGGAACTCCCTACGGCGCCACTGGAGGCGGGGACCCATGCGGGCGGTACCAGTGGGGCCTTCGGTGGAGCTCCCTATGGGCCCACGAAGCGCTGCACTGGGTGGGGGAGGTCGCATGCGGGCGGGCCACTGGAGCTCCCTACGGTGCCACGAAACGCTGTACCAGGTGGGGAGGACGCATGCGGGCGGTGCCCCTGGGGCTTGGTGGATCTCCCAATCAATGGGGCCGCGACATGCAATACTGGGTGGTGGACGACGCATGCGGGCGGTGCCACTGGGGTCTTTCTGTGGAGCTCCCTATGGGGCCACGAAGCGCTATACTGGCTGTGGCGGGAAGGGGGGTCCAGCGCAGATCCACGAAATCCGCGCGGAGCGACGCGAGTTTGTGGTTATGCAGTTTCTGGCTGTTCTGATCAATCTCTGGGCCCCCAGGCGTCGACGCCACGAGCTTTTCCCACCTTCCCGCCCCGCATAGTCTTGGCATCGCTCCGACGTGTGCATTTCTCCTTCGGCGAGGACCATCGAGGAGCATCCTTGATCATTTGGAAAACCACGCACGAAACCGAAAAAAGCGCAGTGAATGGGCGTCCGAGCGATGGCGAGTGGGGGGCTTTGAGGGGGAGTCCCGAACTTGCACTGCACCGGGCGACGAAGCACGACGGGGCAGCGGACCCTGACACCCGACGGCACACGAGGAATCTGCAGCAGGAGAGAGCCTGGCCAGAGACTGGGCCCCCTCTCTCTGAGCCATCATTCGGGCCGGATCGAGCCGTGAGGGCCACCCGGCCCGGCGCAATGCAGCAGCGTCCGCTGCGAACAAGAGTGCGACGCCAGGACCTCAGGGGCAGCGCTTCGGACGGGGCTAGGACGAGGGCAAGTTCACGCCAGAGAGATCCGGGACGCTCTCGGAGCCTCCCAGGACGCGCTGAGGAGACCGCAGCTCCCGAGACAGCCTTCAGAGCCGCCGGATCTCAAAGATTCTCGATTTATCCTGACCCGATGTTCTCTCAGGAGGACAAAAAACACACAGACACAATGAATCGCCGATTTCCTATAAAAATATGGGAAAATATGGGAAGTGGGGGGGAGACAAAGACCCAGAAAATATGGGACAATATGGGGAATATTTTTATTTGTGTGCACGTAATTGTGCGTCCTGGGGCCCCTTCATTATCCTCGCCCTGGCTGCTTCTGAGCGTTTCCCCGCTGCGTCCGCGGGAGCGGCGTGCAGCCAGGGCGGGGGTCTGGTCAATATGGGAAGTGGGGGGAAGACAGAGACCCAGGAAGTACGGGAAAATATGGGGAATATTCTTACTTGTGTGTATTATATATATATATATATATGTGTGTGTGTGTGTGTGTGTGTGTGTGTGTGTGTGTGTGTGTCCTGGGGCCCCTTCGTTAGCCTCGCCCTGGCTTCTGCTCGGCGCCTCCCCGCGGCGTGCCGCGGGGGCGGCGGGCAGCCAGGGCGGGGGTCTGCGCCCGGGGGGGCGGGGCGCGGGCGAGCGCGCGGCGCCCTGGGGCGCTGCGCGGTGACTCCTTGAAGTCGGGCGTGTCCCCCTGCAAGGGGAAACATATTCAAAACATAGCCTTAAGTCGGTCGTGTCCCCCTACAGGGGGATTGTCGACGAAAGAGAAAAAATACAAAAAAATATCAAAACAACATGCAAAAACAAAAAGCCTGGGGACTAGTTCCCAACCATCCTGTGGTGTTGGGTCCTCGCTTTGAAGAGACGGTCCCCGCGTTCTCCTCCTCTCCTCTCCTCCTCCCCCTCCTCCTCCCACTCCTCCTCCCACTCCTCCCTCCTCCCCCTCTTCCCTGCGTTTCACCCACCCAGTACAGCGCTTCGTAGCCCCATAGGGAGCTCCACCGAAGGCCCCAGTGGCAGCGTTCGCATGGCTGCCTCGGGCCATGTCGGCACACCCCTCACGAGGATCGTGGCCCCATAGGGAGCTCCACCGAAGGCCCCCAGTGACAGGGTTCGCATGGCGGCCTCGGGCCATTTCGGCACACCTCTCACAAGGATCGTGGCCCTACAGGGAGCTCCACCGAAGGCCCCAGTGGCAGCGTTCGCATGGCGGCCTCGGTGCAGTTCGGCACACCCCTCACGAGGATCGTGGCCCCATAGGGAGCTCCACCGAAGGCCCCAGTGGCAGCGTTCGCATGGCGGCCTCGGGCCATTTCGGCACACCCCTCACGAGGATCGTGGCCCCATAGGGAGCTCCACCGAAGGCCCCCAGTGACAGGGTTCGCATGGCGGCCTCGGGCCATTTCGGCACACCCCTCACGAGGATAGTGGCCCCATAGGGAGCTCCACCGAAGGCCCCAGTGGCAGGGTTCGCATGGGCCATTTCGGCACACCCCTCACGAGGATCGTGGCCCCATATATATATATATATATATATATATATATATATTGCTTAAACAACCGCGCCTGGGCGTAGTACTCCGCCGTATCGACGTGCAACGCCACCTCCTCCCTCATGGCTCTCAAAGCCCTCTTCTGCTGTTGCTCCTCGGTCAGAGGGACGCCGTCCGTGTCGTCGTCGGCGCCCGCGAAGACGGCCGCGAACGTGTTCCTGAGCATGTCGGGTTCCGGCGGGAAGCTGTGGCCACATAGGGAGCGCGGGCAAAGTGGTATTCACAATTGCGGTATTCACAACTGCATATGGTTGGGTCCTTCGCCAGGCTAATATTTGAGTATTTGTTTATCTTGTGGGTGTATTTTTTGTATTTTATTTGTTCTTCGAAAATCCCCCTGTAGGGGGACAGGCCCGACTTAAACATACCCCCCCAAATGCTCAACAATAGTCAGAAAGTCGCCCCCAGACTATTTCGGGGGCGGGGAGCGGGCGAGCGCGGCGCCTGGGGCGCTGCGCGGTGTTTCCTGTAAGTCGGGCGTGCCCCTCTGCATGGGTAACATTCAAAAGTAGTGAAACATAGTCGGGGGGGATTTTTTGACTATCTTTGAGCATCCGGGGGGCATTGTTTTAAGGTATTTTTGGATTTTTCGCCCAAGGTCCCCCTGTAGGGGGACACGCCCGACTTCATGCTTCCTGCAGCTGCGGCCGTGGCGCTGCATTGCCGCGCCGAAGATGCGGGGAAGCATCGCCGCGTCCTGCAGCGTGCGGGTGGCGCAGCGAAGCGCTGCGGCTGCCGCAGGAGCCGTGTGAGGCGGGGCGCGGCTGCTGCGGTTCGCGGCGCGGCCGGGCGCGCCGGACTGATTATTTGCAAGTTCCCCCCGTCCCCCCTCCCTTGGGTTGACCCAAGAGGGAGTCCAATGACAAGGGGGTGGTACGATAGATTTGGTGCAATATAGATCTATGGGGTTGCAGTACATTCTGGGCGTGCAGTGCATCCCGGGGCGCCAATGTATTGCTGGATTTGTGTGTGTGGAATGCGTTAATTGCAATACAATGCGATACAATTCTCCGACGCAGTACATTTGCAATACAAGTGCCCCGAATATGTCAGATTAGCCCCCTTGCAGCTGGACCCCCTGCTGGGCCACCCAAACTCTCCCTCTCCCCCTCCTTCTCCTCCCCCTTTCTCTGCCACATGGTGCTCCGTGGATGTTTTTTCCTGGAGAAACAAACGAAGCGCGGCTGGCAGTGCAATCCCTGCAGGTGCAGGGCCGACGAGCAAGGAACAAGTCTTGCATCCTCATCCTCACCCTCAGCGATTCGCCTCGCCCACCACTGGCGCTCCGAGCCTGATGCATGCGCGCTGCGCGAGCTAGAGGGTTACGCCCCTCTGCGGCGAGATCTGTTCGAGACCTCCACGGCCCACTCCTCTTTTGAACTCTCCCGCGCCATGGGATATGTCGATCCGGCCTTTATGATTAATCTTAGGTGTCGATGTACAAAACGATCCTCAGCGATTTTGGCTCAAAGTCCACCCGGCTGGAAACATCACGCCCCGAGGCCAGGGATCCCCCCGGGAGCGCGCTTGAGCAGGCAGCGGCGACATGTCGGTGCAGTTTCAGTCCCAGAACTTCCAGCACATCCCGGGGGTTGCCAAAGGGCGTCCCTGGCCCAAAGCCCCCCGATCCTGAGATCCTGGCGCCAATTGTTTCAGCAATGTGAGATTTAGCTTTGGCTCGGGCCCCTGGACCCTCACGGACTGATTCTGAGGAAAGATGCCGACCCCCCGAGGTGTGGACGCCCCGGGATGCCGCTTTCCGTCCCGGGCCGTTTTCGTGGAACGGCCCCCGGGCCCGGCGAGGGCCCCAGGAGTTCGGAGGCAATTCTTGGGAGGTGAAACTCTGACTTCGCCCTGGTCCGATTTCCGGCTTACTCTGGCTTAGTCCAGCAGCGTCCGGCTGAACCCCGCCTGATCGGGCTTAATCCCGTCAGTCGGGGGCGGCAAAGAGGGGAGGTGCTGACTAGGGGGGGCTGGATATCATGGTGGGGGCCAAGGTATCTCCCCAGATTTCATGGCGCTTCTTCTTATTTCAATACGTGCCTGCCCCCCCCCCTGGGTCGCGCACGTGCCGCCGGCCATGATTTGCACCCCTCCTCTTGGACGCCCCCCTCTTGGCCGCCCCCGAGTTAGATCCCGCTTGATCCGCGGCCTAACTTGGCGTAGCAGCCCCCCAATGGGCCTTAATCTTCCTTTGTCATTCCGGCGAAGACCTCCCAGTAGATGCCTCCTAACAGGAGGCCGAAAACGTGCAGAACCCTTCCGCCGCCGCTTTGTCACATTGCGAGGAAGGTTTAGGGTTCGGCGGCGCTGATTGCGCCGTATAAGAAAATCACGACGCAAGGTTTTTCGCCATTCTTCCCTGGGGCCCTCGCTGGGCCCAGGGACAGTCCAATAACTAGTCAGGATGAAAAGCTTCTCCCGGGGGAAAGGTCGGGACTTCCAGGGACCGCGTAGCGGAAACATGTCGACGTCACATGGTTGGTGAAGGGGGTATGTGGGGGGGAGAAGGCTTCTTAGAACCACCCCCCTTGCCCATCGGAAGGCGCGGGCCTCGTCTGTGGATGTGGGGCCGGCGCCTGCTAAGAAGCAGCCTCCTTCGAAGTAGCCTTCCCCTCCCCCTAATATGACCCCCCTGGTGCGCGCGGCCACGCAGAAGCCCTGCGCCGCCATGTTTTTACGAAGCGAGGGGTCCTGGGTGGGCCCCTCACGAGACTCCTGTGGGGCACCCTGGGCCAGGGACGCCTTCCTGGCAACAGCCGCGCATCCTGCGCATGTGTAACACCAACGTGGACGGGCGGCAGAAGGTCCAGGGGCAACGCTGGGGGGGATGTGCTGACCGGCACCTCGAGAGGCCCACTCTCCCGCGGCACGTGCCGACCAGCACCTCGAGAGGCGCACTCTCCCGCCGCGGCGGCAAGGGATGGGGGGGCCCTCGAGAGGCCCAGCCCTGCCTCGAGAGGTTCGCCCGACATCAAGCACAGCCTCGGAGCTCGAGGTCCGAAAACTCGGCCGTCGCCCCCGACCCTTTCGAAGAAGGAACAGCGCCAGAAGCATGAACTTCTGGCGCTCCGCGCGGAGGTCTTGGATCTGCGCCTCCCCCCCACCCCCCACCCGTCGGCGCCTCCGGCGCCGCCCGTGGCGCGCTCCGCGCGCCAGGGAGGGGGGGTCCAGCGCAGATCCCAGAAATCCGCACGGACTGTCAAAAGTTTACGGGTATGCAGTTGTTTGTCGGGGGCGAGCGCGGGGGTGAAGTGAGAAGGAGAAGGCCTTTTCAGAAGGTTCGAAAGTCCCCTGGCCTTCCGCGAAGTGTTCTAAGCCTTCCCCGAAGACAGAAACAACATTTCTCAGATTGCGCGAGGGCTTCTGAGAAGCCCCCGCCCCCTTCTGAGGAAGCCTTCTCCTTCCCATTTCCCCCCCTCGCTCGCCTCGGATTTTCTTCCTCCAACCTTGCCCCTCGAAGGTGATGTACGCGCTCACGGCCATCCGCGGCCTCGGCCGCCGCTTCTCGAACATCATCTGCAAGAAGTGCGACATCGACCTCAACAAGCGCGCCGGCGAGCTCACGACCGACGAGGTGCGCCGTGGCCGCGGAGGGGCCTTTCAAGAGGAGGAGTGGAGGAGGAGGGGGAGGGGGAGGAGGAGGAGGAGGAGGAGGAGGAGGAGGAGGAGGAGGAGGAGGAGGAGGAGGAGGAGGAGGAGGAGGACCAGTGTAAACCCAAGAGTCATCAACGATGTTGGAGTAAACCCTCCTTCCAAGCTCCCTTTTCATAGGCCCCCACAACGGTTCATTTCCATTGATGGAACTGCCTCGTTGGAAGACACCCGTTTGAAGACCCTGAAGCATGCCCAAACATTGTTCTCGGGATTCCAACGCCACGGATCAACCTGACTGTTGCGTCTTGACGATCTTGGATCGTGCCAGAACGCCATTCTTAGGACTTCAAAACACAGAACAAGCTTGTTGCACCTGAAAAATCCTGAATCCTTCTGGAACACCATGTCTGCGACGTTGATGATGCGAATCCGCGAAACTCGTCAAATGTTCGTAGACGAATGTGCGCGGCGCTAAGGCGAGAACCACATTTTGAAAAGGAACCGCCCTTAGTCGTTGAAACCCTTTACAACTGTTTAAATCGAATGTGCGCCGCGCCAAGGAGAGAGATACATGTTGAAAAGGAACCGCCCTCAATCTGTGAAACTGCTGCCATTTTTGTAAGACGAAAGTGCTTGGCGCTAAGGCGAGAGCCACGTTTTGAAAACGGCCCGCCCTCAATCCGTGAAGCTCTTGCACATTTTGAAAACGACTGTCCGCCGCGCTAAAGCGATAACCACATTTTGAAAAAGGCCCGCCCTTCATCTGTAAAGCTTCTGTCAAGTTTTAAGCTTCAGAACCATAAATTGTTAGGAAGTATGAGGCGAAACGACCGGTCCAGTCTAAAAACTGGTTTCGGGGTGCGACAGGCATACATTAAGTATAAAGAGAAAGAGTGGCGTAGGAGGAGGAGGAGGAGGAGGAGGAGGAGGAGGAGGAGGAGGAGATGGAGGAGAGGAGGAGGAGGAGAAACGAGGAGGAGGAGGAGGAGGAGGAGGAGGGGGAGGAGTAGGGGTTGAGGGCGAGGAGGAGAAGGAGGAGGAGAAGTAGGGGGTTGAGCGGGAGGGGAGGAGGAGGAGGAGAGGAGGAGGAGGAGGAGGAAGGAGGAGGAGGAGAGGAGGAGGGGAAGGAGGAGGAGGGGGAGGAGGAGGGGAGGAGGAGGAGGGAGGAGGAGGGAGGAGGAGGAGGAGGGGAGGAGGAGGAGGAGGAGGAGGAGGAGGAGGAGGAGGAGGAGGAGGAGGAGGATGGGGGGGAGGAGGAGGAGGAGCAGGAGCAGGAGGAGGAGGAGGAGGAGGAGGAGGAGGAGGGGTATAGCGCTACTCTGCTACCCCTTCCCTCGCTCTGGCAATTTTTTTGTGGGGGGCCTCCTGGGAGGCCATCGTCACCACGGCCGGATGCTCCTCTCGAAGTGCTTGTCAGAACCAAGGACACCCTCGAGGACGCGAAGCTGTTCGCGCTTCTCGCTTCGCGGCTCGGCTCCGATTGCCCCCCATCCTCTTCGTCTCCCCAGGGTGGCGGCGCGAGAGCGCGAAGTTCTTCGCGCAGCGCGCAGCGCTGAGCGCGAAGTTCGTTAGGCACCCTTGCAGAACGCACCCCGGGATAGGTTCGGCGAGCAGCGGCATCGAACGCCCCGAGGTCTTCGCCCTCCACGGCCCCGGGGCCGCTTAGAGCCGAGCCCTGGCATCCAGGAAGAGCGCCCGCCCCCGGGGGACGCCCCCCCACCCCCCCTTTCCTGGGACCCAGGTCCCATGTGGAGGCGGGCGGGGGTTCTGAGCTTCAGAGGAGGAGCAGGCACCCACACTGCCGCCCTTCCCTCGTTTTCGCCTTCTTGGGCATCCCGGGAGGCCCGCGTCGCCATCGCTGGATTCGCCGCGGAATTCTGGTCAGAACGCGTCCCAGGAGAGGTTCGGGGAGCAGCGGTATTGGTGCCTGTGGGTTTCTTCAGAGCTGGATCAGCCCAGAGAAAGTCTGTCAACAGGGGGGCATGCGAGGGCAAATTCGTTGAACATCTCTCCCCAGGACGAGTATGACGAGTTTTGCGAGCCGCGTCCAGCCGTAAAGACGAGGGGGTCTCTGTCTTCCCCCCTTCAGTGCTGGAGGGAATCAGTGCTGGGCCACCTCGGCCCCCCGAGCCGGCTCAGAGGTCGGGTTTCCCTGCAGGGCCCGTTCTTGCCTGCGCGCTCTGAGGTGAACAAGATCGTGGCGGTCGCCAGCAGCCCGCTGCAGTTCAAGATCCCGGCGTGGATGCTCAACCGGCAGAAGGATCGTGCAAACAGCACCCCTCAGTGACGTCGCTGACCCCAGACGTTCTCTCGAGGGGTGTCGCTAATAATGTCGGAAGGAGTTCTGTACTTTCTGCCTTCACGATCGGGTACCTCTTTAGCCTTGATCACCAGAAAGAATGTCGAGCACCAGAAGAAAATGCCGAAACTCGAGGGTTTTCACGTGTCGGGCCCTGGGAGATTCGCCCGACACTGTTTCGACACTCTTTTGACACTTTTCTGGGTGCTCGAAATTATTTCTGGGATGCGGTCCTCAAGTAGGATGGGAACAACATGAGTATAGCCAGGACCCCAGGTCAGGGCACCCGGTTAGTAGTACGTCCCCGGAGCCCCCAAATTGGCCGGAGTCACTGAACCAGGTCTGCGGTGGTTGGTGTTTTTCGGGTGGCGGCAGTTGCGGTCCGTGGAACGGGGCGGGGGGGGGGGGGCGTCCCCCAGTACACATCACCAAACCCAGTCCCACGAAACCTAGTTCTGCCAACGCTCGACAGGAGCCGTTTACTGGCCCTGGGTCAGCCACGCGCAGAGGGGGGTGGGGGGAGGGGGAGGGCTTCTTAGAAAGTCTTAGAAGCACCCATGCTTCTTAGAAGCCCTCCCCCCTCCCCCCACCCCCTCTGCGCGCCGCCAACTGGGGCCGTCCAAAGATGACCCAGGATGATGAGCCAGTCCTGGGGAGTGTCGAGGCCTCCAGGGGTCCGCGCTGCGCGAAAACAACATGACGCCAGGATCTGGGGGAGGAGGACCACTTCAGGCCGAGGGGGAGCCTTTGGTTTTCGGGCCGTGCCTTAGATCTAGGTTTATGTGGGGCGTGCCCCCCTACAGGGGGATTTTCAACGAAAAATAATTTAAACAAAGAATTTAAAAAATACCGCAAAAAGGGCAAACAATACTCCAAAAATAGTCCCCAGACTATTTTTGGACGATTTGTTGACTATCTTTTTTGTACTTTCTATTTTTCGTTGAAAATCCCCCTGTATGGGGGGCAGGCCCGACCGAAGCCGAGGCTCTCGGTCGGGGCGCCTCTTCGTGGCCGACGCTCTCCGTGGCCAGCCCAGCCCTTTCGTTCCTCCTCGGGCGCTCGCGCTAGTGCAGCCAAGGCGTGCGAGAGGAGCCGAGACGTGGAGATACGGACCCCTTCGGGCTCCGGAGCGCCCCTGAGATCGAGGTTTGGGTCGGGCCTGTCCCCCTCCGGGGGGGATTTCGGGCGAAAGACTCGACACTTCCAACACATATGATTTGAAATGTGTGGAAGAATCGTCCCCGGAGTATTTTTGTTGACCATGTTTGAATATTCTCCCTGTAGAGGGACAGGCCCGACTTCAATCCAGGTCGGGGAGCTTCTGCGTGGCCGAGGCCTCCCGCGGCCCGAAGGGCCCCTTCGCTCCCTCTTGCCCCAGCGCCCTCTGGCAGCACGCCGACCTCTCTGCACGTGCGCGCCGGCCCCTGGTGGGCCCGCCCTGTGCGGGGCCGGTGCGCGTGCCGCCCTGGCAGGGCCAGCAGGTCGTACACCATCGGGTACGGGTGGGGCAGCCACTGGGATGACCGTGGGGGCTCCCAAGTGGATAGGGGGGGTACAAGAGTGGATGCCAAGGTGGGTTGTATCTGGCCCAACCTGGCCTACAAGTGGGTCACAAGTGCCCTAAGTAGCTTAGGAGGGGTCGATAACTCGGCTAAGTGGGCTCAGCCCTCCTCCTCCTCCTCCTCCTCCTCCTCCTCCTCCTCAGATCGTCAACCCCCCAAAGCTACTTAGGCTCAGCAGGTCGTATGCACCGATCTGGGCAGCCACCATCGGGCCACGGGTGGGGCCGCAGTGCCGCGCCGCATCGCCGCTGCGGCTCGGTGTGGAGCCCGACTCTCCCCGCGCCGACGGCGCCGAGGGCATCGCGCGGACGTCGCCGGTGCGTCGTCGATGCATTGGCGGCCCTCCCGCGGCCCCAGCTGGGAGGCCCCTTTGCCGGGAGCTGCGCGTGCGCGCCGGTGCTGCCCCCCCCCCCCCTGGCAGGACGTGAAGGACGGCAAGACCTCGCAGAAGTACGCGAACTTCCTCGACCAGGCACTCCGGGAGGACCTGGAGCGGATGAAGCGCGTGCGCCTCCACAGGGGCATCCGGCACTACTGGGGCATCCGCGTGCGCGGCCAGCACACGAAGACCACGGGCCGCCACAGGGCCATGGGCGACGGCGGCAAGAAGTGAGCCGGCAGCGCAGGGGCTGCTCCTCCTGCTCCCGCTCCTCCTCATCACCGTTCTGCTCCTTCTCCTCCACCTCGTCCTCCTCCTCCTCCTCCTCCTCCTCCACCACCGCATCATCATCATCATCATCCTCCTCCTCCTCCTCCTCCTCCTCATCCTCCTCATCATCATCATCATCATCATCATCATCATCATCATCATCATCATCATCATCATGATCAGCATTATCATTATCATCAGCAGCAGCATCATCACCATCACCATCATCATCCTCATTCATCATCGTCATCGTCATCGTCATTGTCGTCGTCATCGCCATCGTCAGCGTCGTCATCATTAGCATCAACAACATCATCGCCATCAACATCACCGTCATCATCACCCTCATCATCGCCATCATCGTCACCATATTCATCAACATGACCATCAACATCGTTATCATCATTACTATTGTCATCACCATCGCCATCACCAAGATCCTTAACATCATCGTCGTCGTCATCATCAGCAACAGCAACAGCAGCAGCATCCTACCCATCATCAATCATCGCATTCGCCGTCATCCTCATCACCATCACCATCATCAGCATCATCATCAGTGTTGTTGTTGCTGTTGTTGTCTTCGTGGTTGTTGTTGTTGCTGCTGTTGTATCTGCCGCTATCTAGCTGTCACCATGGAAACATCATTATTGTTGATTTCCCCCTTGTGGCGCACATCGTATTTTTCCATTTGAAGTGCCCTCATCCAGGAGAGTCTTGAGGGTCAAACTGGCGCCCTCGCTCCCGAACTAATTACAACAACAACGGCCTCCGCCTGATACTTCTCCACACTTTATTCCGATTTCGCGCTCTCACACGGGGACTTCATCACAATGCATGCAGGAATCCTGCTCTCGCGCAGCACCTCGCAACCTATTCAGACGCCGCGCCGTTGACATTCAGGAATCAGCTCTCGCTTTAGCTTGTCTCATGAATTACTTCGGAATCGCGCTATCGCTCGAGACTTCCTCGCGATTCATGCAGGACTCACACTTCAGCAACCCGCCTGCTCAACCTTGCCGCCTGGGCACGCCCTCCCGACCCGCCCACCAGGGTCTGCCCGCCCGGTCATCCCATCTGGTTCTACCGCGTGTTTCTTGTTCCTGGACCGCCGCCTGCTAATTCATAGGGTGGAAGTTCATTCGGGCCCCTGGTGTTTTGAAGGAATAACTCCTGAGTGCCCCCCCGACAGAATCCATAATAAGGAATATGTACCTAAAGAACCTGTACTAAGGAGTATTTAATGAGAAATCATCACGAAGGGTTTCTTAATCAGGAATCTGCAAGAAGGACTCCTTAGTAAGAAATCTGTACTAAGATCGGTCAACAGTAATATGTACTAATGAATCCTGAAGATGGAATTTTCACGGAGGAATCCTGAATAAGGAAGCTTTGCCAACGAACCCTTTCGGAGGTACATGCTTTGGAGAATTCTTGGTGAGGAACCTGTACTAAGGAGCCCTCACTAAGTAATAGTTGCGAGCGAGTCCTGAATATGGAATCTGTAGTGTAGGATCCCGAATGAGGAATCTGTCTTAAGAAGTCTTGAATACGAAGTATGTACGAAGGAATCCTCCCGAAGGAGTGTGTATTAAGGAAACCTTTTTCAAAAATGAGAACCTTGATCATGAACCTCCACGAAGGAGTACGGAATACGGAATCTGTACTAAGGAATCTTGAAGAAGGAATCTCGACGGATGAATCTGCCAGAATGAACATTCTACTCGGGAGCCCGCAGGGAGGAGTCTTCACGAAAGAATCCGCCGTGATGAACCTTTAGGAATACATCGTTTTCAAATTGATGTTTGCGGAGAAGCTCTTAATAAGGAGTGTGCACTAAGGACTTCTTAATAAAGCACATGTACGAAGAAATCCTGACTATGGAATCTGCGCTAAGGAATCCTTCATGAGGAATCCTGGATCGTGAATCCAGAAAAAAGAGTTATTATGCTGGAAGTCGTAACAAGGACAATGTTCACAGGAACCCTTCCTTAATCTTGGATCTTTACACAGGAATCCTTATTGAGGGTCTTACACAGGAATCTTCATCGCGGGGCCACTACTAAGGAATATGCGCAAGAGTCTGTATGACGACACCGTTCAAACATATTCTTGTCTCAGGAATCCTTACTAGTGGGTCTGTATCAGGGAACCCTTGAGTACGCAATATTTGCGGACAAATTTTTAAGACTGAGCATTTACGGAGGAACCCTTAACACGGAGTAGTTAACTAATGAATCCTTAGTGAGGAACATTCTTACGAAGGAGCCCGTGATACGGAGACTTTATTGAGGAAGCCATACATCGGTATCTGGATTAAGGAATTCTTGATCAGAAATCTTTACACAGGAGTCCATAATATGGAACAGTTCCGGGTGATTTCGTAGTAAGGAGTTTTTGTTGGGTAATGATGAATACATATGCCGTCAGGAAGTAATCCTTCATATGGAATATGTTTAAAGAAATCTTCATAAAAGAATATGTACCAAGGAATCGTCAACGAGGGGATGTACTAAGGAACCCCAGCTAAGGAATCTTGAGTGGGGATCACGTAGTCAGGAACCCTTGCATTAAGGGATTTTTAGCAAGAAACCTTCGCTCTGCAATCCGTAATGCGGAATATGTACTGATGAATCCTGAGTGGGGGGCCTTGGCTACGGAATCCTGAATAGGGAACCGTTCCCGCGGAATCCCTACTAAGGAACCCAGGCGGGAGGGAGGGGCATCAATTTGTGGATGCCCCTCTATGCCACCGTCGTCGCCGTCGTCGCCGTCCTTCACCTCGGCCTCCCCCTTCCCCCGTTCTCTTCCTCCTCCCCCTCCTCCGCATTATCATATTCAGAATCCCCTCTATGGAGCTGCATCAACCACAACCATCGGACCAATAAAAGGCACAACAAAAGCAGGCAACGCAATCCTGAGGGACTTCCCCTCCCTCCCCTTCCCTCCCCCTGTCACCCCGCACCCCAGAAGTTCCCCAGGATTACTTGTTTCCCCCCAGGTTGGTTTTGCTTGATCACGCACCGCCGATGGATTTTCATTGGTAGGAGGAGGAGGAGGAGGAGGAGGAGGAGGAGGAGGAGGAGGGACGAGGAGGAGAAGGAGGAGGAGAAGGAGGAGAATGAGGAAGAGGACGAGGAGGAGGAGCAGGGATAGGAGGAGGAAGCAGAGGAAGAGGAAGAGGAACGGGAGGCGGATGAGAAGGAAGAGGGAGGAGAAAGGGGAACCGAGAGATTGAGAGAGGCTCCAATTGATAAGGAGGAGGGGGAGGAGGAGGGGGCGGAGGAGGAACGAGATGGAGGGGGTGGTGGAAGACTCCATGCCGTTTTGCCTGACAAACGCAGGGGGGCCAAAGGAGCTGAAACCAAACTTCTTGTGATATATCATTCTCGCTCCCCTTCCATTGGTCCTCTTTTCCCTTGTTGCAGGGGCTGCCCTAAGTGCGCGTGGCAGGTAAGGAATATGCCCTACATGCACGTGGCAGGTTGGGGTATACGTGTTGAACTGCGAGCAGGAAGATCGGAGCGAGCAGTCTTAAATTACGCTGCCGAGGAACCCTACATACTTAATTTAAATCTTATGTGTTTGCTTATGTATGTGTGTATATCTATATATGTATGTATGTATGTATGTGTATATATATTTATATATATGTGTATGCGCAATCCTGCGTTGTGAGCCCTCGCTGAGAGACCACCCCCTACTCCCTTTGGTGTCGAAAGAGTGCCATGCCTGCTAGGCTTTGCGCCAGTGTCGTGGATAGCGGCCGAGCCGAGAGACCACCCCCTGCGCACCCCCTGTGGCGTCGAGAAGGTGCCACGCCTACTAGGCTTTGCGACAGTGTCGTGGGTAGCGACCGAGCTGAGAGACCACCCCCTGCGCACCCCCTGTGGTGTCGAGAAAGTGCCACGCTTGCTATGCTTTGCGCCAGTTTCGTGGATAGCGGCCGAGCTGAGAGACCACCCCCTCCGCACCCCCTGTGGTGTCGAGAAAGTGCCACGCCTGCTAGCCTTTGCGCCAGTGTCGTGGATAGCGGCCGAGCTGAGAGACCACCCCCTGCCAACCCCCTGTGGTGTCGAGACAGTGCCACGTCTGCTAGGCTTTGCGCCGATGTCGTTGATAGCGGCCGAGCTGAGAGACCACCCCCTGCCCACCCCATTTGGTGTCGAGAAAGTGCCACGCCTGCTAGGCTTTGCGCCAGTGTCGTGGATAGCGGCCGAGCTGAGAGACCACCCCCTGCGCACCCCCTGTGGTGTCGAGAAAGTGCCACGCCTGCTAGGCTTTGCGCCAGTGTCGTGGATAGCGGCCGCGCTGAGAGACCACCCCCTGCGCACCCCCTGTGGTGTCGAGAAAGTGCCACGCCTGCTAGGCTTTGCGCCAGTGTCGTGGATAGCGGCCGAGCTGAGAGACCACCCCCTGCCCACCCCCTTTGGTGTCGAGAAGTGCCACGCCTGCTAGGCTTTGCGCCAGTGTCGTGGATAGCGGCCGAGCTGAGAGACCACCCCCTGCGCACCCCCTTGTGGTGTCGAGAAAGTGCCACGCCTGCTAGGCTTTGCGCCAGTGTCGTGGATAGCGGCCGAGCTGAGAGACCACCCCCTGCGCACCCCCTTGTGGTGTCGAGAAAGTGCCACGGCTGCTAGGCTTTGCGCCAGTGTCGTGGATAGCGGCCGAGCTGAGAGACCACCCCCTGCGCACCCCTGTGGTGTCGAGAAAGTGCCACGCCTGCTAGGCTTTGCGCCAGCTGCTGAGAGCTTTTGTCGCTGCTAGTGTCGTGGATAGCGGCCGAGCTGAGAGACCACCCCCTGCGCACCCCCTGTGGTGTCGAGAAAGTGCCACGCCTGCTAGGCTTTGCGCCAGTGTCGTGGATAGCGGCCGAGCTGAGAGACCACCCCCTGCCCACCCCCTGTGGTGTCGAGAAAGTGCCACGCCTGCTAGGCTTTGCGCACTTGTCGTGGGTTGCGGCC